AAATTATCATTTTTATCACTATGCCGTATCTTTCTTTATAGTAATTTTCTGGATCCAAATGCTACATTATCAGATACTAACATACCCATTCTTGCTTTTTAATATTTGTTCATTGTATCTAATTCCATCCTTTTGCTTTCAACCTACCTGTGTCTTAAATATGAAGTGAGTTTGTTGTAACATTGTAGCATCTTTTTTTCTCCAACTCTGCCATTTTATTTTGTGATTTCTAGGTGTTCTCCTGGTTCTCATTTCTCTGTCTCCTTTTGCCTTCCTGTGGGTTATGTTACATTTTTCAGTTTCATGATTGATTTATTTGTGGTATTTTGAGAGTCTAACTGTATTAGCCAGTTTTTGAAAATGATTTTATTGAGATGCATGGTGTCACTGCCTTCCAGTGTCCAAGGTTTTGGATAGGAAATTTCTTGTCAGTAGACTTGGTGTTTCACTATAGGAAATGCATTGTTTCTCTCTGGCTGTTTTCAGGAGTTTTTCCTTATCTTTTCACAAGTTTACCTATAATGTATGTAGGTGTGTATCTTTGGGTGAATTCACTCAGCCTCTTAGATCTATAGATTTGTGTCTAAGTGTGTGATGTTGTTAGCTATTGTTTTGTCAGGCTGTCATTCAGCCCCCTCTTTTCTGAACTCTAATGATGTAAATGTTGAATGTTTTCTTACTGTTCTGCAGGTCCTTGAGGGTTATTAAAAGTATTTTAATTCTGTTATTCTAAACTCAAGTTCACTAACTTCATCCTCCACCAACTCCATTCTACTATTGAGCCCATCCAGTCAGGTGTTTTTGTCATATTTTTCAGTGGTATATTTTCCATTATTAAAAATAAYGTCTTTTTACTGCTACTTTTTCATTTTATCATTTTTATTTCTTTGGTGGTATTAGGGATTGAGCCCCAGGGGTGTGCTACTACTCAGCTATACTCCAGTCCTTTTTATTTTTTCTTTTGAGGCAGGGTCTAACTAARTTGCCAAGACTTGCTTCAAACTTGCAGTCCTCCTGCCTTAGCTGCCTAAATTGCTGAGATTACAGTTGTGTGCCACTGTGCCCAGCTTTTTTATTTATTATTATTATTATTTTTTACTCTTGGTACCGGGGATTAAACCCAGGGGTGCTTAGCCACTGAGCCACATCCCCACCCCTTTTTATATTTTATTTAAAGACAGGGTCTTACGAAGTTGCTTAGGGCCTCGCCAAGTTGCCAAGGCTGGCTTTGAACTTGTGATCCTCCTGACCCAGTCTCTGAGCCTCTGGGATTACAGATGTGCACTACCACACTTGGCTGGCTTTTTTATTTTAAATGGAATTTGYTATTGACTATTGAAATATTTTTGTGACAGCTATATAAGACTTCTTGTATAATCTCAACATCTAGTTAATCTTGGTGTTGGCATCAGTTGTCTTTTCTCATTCTAGTAGTGATTTTCTGGGTTCTTGATGCAACAGTGGATTTTCAATTATATCCTGGTATGGCGATGGTTTTCTTTAAATTCTTAATTTTATTTAGGGTTAGCATGTAGGTCTTGGCTTACTTGTATGGGCTGTGGTTCTGATAGCAGCTTAATTTTCATAGCTTTTGTGGTGTCGTGTTGGTATGATTGGATAATATGGTGCTGCTGAGATTCCTGCTGGCTTTTGCTGTTCTTGCCTGAGGGATCAGAAGGATTTTTCTCTAGGCCAGCTGCCAAGTATCTCTTGGTAGGGGAGTAGTATGKTGGGATTATTTTATGCAATAAGAATCTCTTACTGCAAACCCTTGCCCCATGCCCATGATATTTTGGGGCAAAGGAGGAGTCTCAGGCAGTGAAGAGAAAGTGACTTCCGAGGCCCAGAAGCTTGTTGTAACTGGGTCCCATTTTTAGGTGTCTCTGGGTAGGACAAAGTCCATGGAGACAAAATGGTTTGTTAGAACTGACTGCTGTGGCTGGACTCTCTTGTGGGTTTTGCTTGCCACCTATGGACCTCCCAATGGAAGAGAGTTGTAGTCCTGGTGGTGGGGAAGGACTCATTTTTGACAGCCCTAATCAGTACCCATTATTTGTACATTGATTCCCCTGGCTGGTGAACTTGGCTTACCTGATGTTGCCAGATAGACTCTTCAATCCAGGCAAGGTATAAGCCTACTTGGGCTGTCATCTTGCTTGATGGAGGATTTGGATTATAGGCCAACTGTGACCTTCTTCTCTTGGGTGGAGAATATATTGGAACCCTGCCACTGAGCTGTTCCCTCAATTATTGAGTTCCTAACCAGCTTGTCATCTTCTCATCACCTTTCGGAGTCTGTTGCACCATTTTCAAGATTTATGGCCGTTTAAAATGAAGGAGCAAGGAAAAGTGGGCCTATTTTATCTTGCTCTGACCAGAAGTTAGAATATTTTTAAAATGTCTTAAGGCATCAGATTTCCCACAAGGCAATGAGAAATTATGGGTGAGGTTCAGTGAAGAATGAAATCCTGAGAAGTGAGTCCAGCACTCAGAACTATTTTCATTTTGCAGCATTGGCCTGCCTATCTGGAAGGAAGCTACAAATCTCACATAGTTGAGAGTCAAAAATGGTAGTACAGAGCCTGCCAAGGGCAGAAGCCTTGGTAAATACCTCCTGCTTGGGGTAGGATCCCCAAGAGGCCTCCTAGGATGAACAGAAGTAAACCAACTTGTAGTGAGCTTGGCTCTGAGTCTAAAGGGAACCTGGTCCTGCTTCTAGCCCTTGCACTAGTATCATGCTAATCACTTCATAGCTTGCAGGGCCCCTTGTTAAATCAAGAGGTTGCCTGATCCCCCAGATCCTTTCCAGCTCTTATTAAGTTTGTCCCTCTTAACTAATAAGTAACTGGAAACATTTGACAATTAGCAGAGCTAGGTCTTTCATTAGACTTTTCTAGAAAGAATAGATTCTTGTAAGAAACTGAAACTAACAGTAGGATCCTGGCTTTGCTCTAAAGCATCAAAAAGCATTTTGAGAAGTAATTTAAATTTAGATGACAGCAGAGGGAGAAGAAATACATTGAATAGGAAAAAAATCATATTAATAAATGTAATAAAATGGCTAAAGGGGATGGTGTTGAGCAGAAATGTGAGGGCAAGCTCCAGTCTTTTAAAAAAAATGTGGCATATATACACAATGGAATTTTACTCAGCAATAAAAGAGAATAAAATTATGGCATTTGCAGGTAAATGGATGGTGTTGGAGAAGATAATGCTAAGTGAAGTTAGCCAATCCCAAAAAAACAAATGCCGAATGTTTTCTCTGATAAGGAGGCTGACTCATAGTGGGGTAGGGAGGGGGCGCATGGGAGGAATAGATGAATTCTAGATAGGGAAGAGGGGTGGGAAGGAAGGGGGTTAGCAATGATGGTGGAATGTGATGGACATCATTATCCAAAGTACATGTATGAAGACACGAATTGGGTGTCAACATACTTTATATACAGAGATATGAAAAATTGTGGTGTATATATATATATATATATATATATATATATATGTATATATATATAAAATAAGAAGTGTAATGCAAAAAGAAAAAGTACACGCATAAAGACATGAACTGGCATGATCATACTTTATATACAAAGATATAAAAATTATGCTCTATATGTTTAATAAGAATTGTAATACATTCCACTGTCGTGTATTTAAAAAATTAAATCAATTTTAAAAATTTATATTTACAATTAGAAGGTTTAGCCAAGTCTCAATTGTGTTGCCATGTGCTAATTTGTGTTCATTGCACATAAAGTTTGATCATGCAGACCTTCAGGTAAAATTTTAAAAAGGTACCCAAGGGTGAGGAGTGACAAGACATTCCCAGAAAAGTTTRAAATTGATTTTTCTTCGGGTAAACTCTCCTGCTGATGTTTGCCAGGAAAATAGGTGTCTACAAAAAACCATTCAATAATCTTCACATCACAATTTTAATGCTCTCATCAATGTTACAGAATATACTTTCTTCTAAGGTGATAGCATATTATAAAATAAACTCAAAGAGTTTAAATACACAGACAGCATTTGAATGGTAATGCTTTAAAGTGGTCCAGTTGCATCTTCAAGTCACTATACTGACCCCTCAATAATGCAGGTAAGTTCATAGCTGCAAGCCAAACGAGTGCTCACACATTCTGGGAAGCCCAAGCCAGAATCCAGACTTCTGGAATTTGTTATGTAACTCCCCCTCCCCCATATTGTCTATGTCCAGTTATTCCATTCTATCCTATTAAGTAGTTTTTAATGAAAACAAAACAAAAACCCAACTAGGTGCCAACATTCTTTATTGGCATTTTCACTTGGAAATCATTCATCTAATTTTAGGGAGCACTGAAATTCAGTTATACTTTTAAACTATGTCACTTTTTTCACTTCATATTTAGTTTGTCCTTTCTTTTTGAAATAGTTATGGTATCTGCTTATTAGCCAACTGGTATATAATAAAGCCACAATAATATCTATAGGCCATATGTCTATTTTGCTTGCTTTTTTTTTCAGGAAAACTTATATTTTCTGGGTATCTTCATTCATTTAAGAAGTTATATGTAATATTGTGTCTATCCCTAGCTTAACTAGTGATCTAAAACACAGCTTTAGGTTGTTGGAATGAGAGGGGTGAGACGACCAGGCAGGTAATAAATTCTGAGTAGAGTCTATTTATGGTTTCATCTTTTATTTCAGGCACTTGGTGGGTATTCAAATATTTCTTGAAACTGGATTAAATAAATCTCAGCCCCTCTGTTTCAATGTTACCACTAGTTATTTCACTAGTTTGTGCCATTAGGTACCCTTTGCCATAGTGCTGGATACAGTGTGAACAGCCCACGTGGTCCTAATTCTTTTGTCCACACAGCTCTTTTCAAGGATCCAGTGGTCTATATTTTATCTTATATGGTTTGTATTCTTTTGCAACTCTGGATCTTCGAAGGATCAAATCTAAAGATGTTTGTAATGTTACTATGTGCTACCACAACATACACACAAACACACAGTTTTATTTTATTTTTAATGTGATTAATAATGATTTAGTTTTCAAAGAAGCAAATAATTACAGACAAGAGAAAACACTGCAGAGATGGTACCTGATCTCTGCTCTTCAGGCCACTGCTGGATTATATAGAAAAGAAACCTATATTCATGGTGTTTTCATTATTATAAAGTCAGAGTGCTGTGACTAATCAGGAACTAGCAATAATTTATGACAGAAACAATTATGTTTAGAATGCATGTCAGTATTTGAATCTGTATGGAAGGAAAAAAAAAAAAGAATGAAAACCTATGTCCTTTGGAAAGAAACATAACAAGAAACGCCCACAGATGCAACCTGCTGTTGGGAATGTATCTCTCCAAAATTCAAGGTACAAAGTTTGTTACATTTAATTTTCAAGTTTTCAACTTTCTTCTTGTTTTCCCAATTTAAGGAGATAGATTTATAGATTTCTACATTATTCAGGAATTACTAGAAATTTATCTCACTTTGAACATGAAAAGCATGTATTCTGTGATTGGGTAAAAAAGTTGTAATTGTCAATCAAGTTATAAGACAGTTGTCTGTAAAGTGCATTTCAAAGAAAAGTACCCACTAGGAGAGTAATTTAAAGTGCAATGTACAAGGTACTTTAAATAGTGCAAAGTTGCTAAATATATACATTATATGTGCCAAGTCCAAATAAAGCCAGATCTCATCTATCCCTAAGAGGACAATGGAGAAGTACTCTCGCATCTTTACTCCTTTGCAGGTGTAAGTATTTTGGTTTGTGTGTGTGCATGTCTACGTGACTGTGCATAAACATGTATTAACTGCTTGATGGCCTCTGCAGATGTCTGAAACTGGTTTCCTAGAATTTGAAACTTTTAAACAATGACATAATTATGCAATCTCCACTTCGATATGCAATTCCATTTCAAAGAAGCATTAAGCTTGTAATAATGGTTGAGCAATTTCAGCCTGCATATCTTGTAAGGCAGGTACTTGACTATGAATTAAATGTTTAATGAAAATTACAAAAAATACAATCACTATCATGCTGCCAAGAGATACCCCTATGAAATAAGGGTATGACTCCTCTTGCTCATATTCTCCTAGTTGGTCATTACCAAAGAGGAGTGTGGTACTCTGTGTATAAGGAATTGCTTTTGGAGATGCTGAATTGAGCAGATCCTGGACATTCCTTAATGATCCATTGTGTGGCATAGCGGTGATATTGAGGAGATGGCACAGCAGTGGGTACAGATCTGTGGAGTTCATGGCTTCTTTTGTGAAATTCTTTCTGAAGGCAGGACCGTGGGCTAAAAATATTGGATGCATTTCTGCTAATGCATTATCATAACCATGGTTGCCTACTGTAAAGAGAAAATGCATGAATAAGTTAGCCAACCAGATGGCATTAAAATGGAAATAACTGTTGTATGGTCAAGTTCTGAACTTAAAATGCAAATTTGATCTAATTTGACTTTAAAAATAAAATAATCTTTTACAATCTCTGCTGTTGTCAACCCCATAATTTACTTCAGGAAATGAAAGGTCAAATGATCACAAATGTTTTTCACAGACCAGTACTACCTTAAGCAGCAGAGGAAAGACATAGGCAAAGCCAAACCAAGTCAGGGAGACTGAATTTCTTTTTTTCTTTTTCTTTTTGTGGCTGGCAAACTAATATTCAGCAAATATTTATTGGGTGCCTACTATGTCCAATTTTTATTATAAAGATAAGGGTGTTCTTAGACTTGATTATGAAAACAATAAACTCATAATTACCAGTAAAAAGGAAAAACAATACGTAAAGAAAAACGAAAGATGTCACAGAAATCTAATCTTTAGCTAAAGCTACAATTCACTACTAAAAAATAGGCCAGGACTTGTAAGTAGAGTGGAAAAAATCTTGACTGTGGTGGCTTGGATCTGGATCCAACTTAACATTGAGTGCTTTAGTGTGGTTACAAATACAGTAAAACCTTTAGGATCTTCTGACATTTGTATCAAGTGATAGAAAATTGAAGGATGAAAACTGCATGATAAAAGCTGCCTTTTAAAGGCATGTAGGCCTAGCATATCAGGATACAAGACAAATTATAAAATCTGCAATTGACCAAATGGTTGCTATGTTTGTTTCTATGAGAAGTTGGTATCTAGATTCTCTGTCATGAAGATAAAGAGAATTCTCTCATATCACATTTCTTATTAGAAAATAAGGTTTAAAATTAAACCAGTATGATTTGTATATGACCTTTCTCTTTAGAGTTTGTTTTGTAGTGGTAGTACCTAACATAAATGCTGTTGACTCAGTACATAATATGTAATACCTTTCTTTTGAGATGGGGGTCTTGCTATGTTGCCCAGGCTGGCCTTGAACTTGCAATCCTCCTGCCTCAGCCTCCTGAGTATCTGGGATTACAGGAATGCACCACTGTAATCTGGAATTACAGTGTATGCCCAGGTAGTAGGCAATAATTTAATAAGAGATGACTAAGGGCAGTGGTTCTCAAACTTTGTAGATGAGACATGTGAACACACACATTGTTAAGCTCTACCCTCATGGTTTTTGGTTTAGTAAATCTGGATTGGGCCCAAGAATATGCATTTCTGACATTCTCAGGTACTTTTGATACTGCAGGGCCAGAAAACATAATTTGATAACCACTACTTTTGGACTTTAGGGCTTAATTATCTTGTGGTACTCTGGTTGACAAGGACTACAGTAGCCAATATTTAACTATTTGTTGAATAAATTAACATAATATAATAGAAATAGTACTGAAGTGTTCTGTCAAAAATAAAGGTGACCAATCTAGTGTATATGTAGTTCACAACACCAAAAGTTTTAGAATGCTCTTAAATTTATGTAAACTGTAAAATACATATCTCAAAGATAGCAATCCTTTTTAACACAAACACTACCTGCACAGTACACAAAAAGAACATACCAAGGTGGAAATTATTCTCATGGCAAGGAAATTATTTTTAAACACCTTCTTGAAACAGTTTCCCTGATATCATTAAATATCGGGGTACAGTTCTGTTATCTGTATGTACAGCTTTTAGGAACCAGAAACCAGGTACCGGTATACATCTACTATTATGAGTCACAAATAYACTACAAATGACATTGTCATGCAACTGCTCTTCTTTCAGTGAATTAACATGATAGGATAAGAACCCAAGTCTACCTAAAGTTGTGTACAGTTTTTTCTTTTTTGGGGGGGGCGGGTGCAGGGGACGAAACCCAGGACTTCACGCATGCTAGGCAAAAAGTCTACCACTGAGCTACACCCACAGTTCTGTACATTTCTTATGTGTATATCAAGGACCAATATCTAAAAACATATCTAGATAGTTAAATACTGATACAACATGGGTCCTTCAACATTTAAGGTAACAGAGTAAAAATATCAGCAAGTAAACTGCTGTATTATCCACAGCCTCCATGTTAGCAAAAAACGATGCAGAATGGGAAGAAATACTATAACATACTCACACAGAAAGTCATCTGACTTATTCTGTAAAATATACCACCCTTCGTCAGCCACTGCTATGATTGGTTGAATTCGATCGTTGTATTTGTAGTGCCATCTCTCTGGAATCTCCTCTTTTTTGTAAACAGTAAGATTCGGATGAGCATGAGCCAGTGTTTCATAGACTTCATTAAATTTACCTAAAGAGAGAGGAGAAAAGGCACTCAGAACAGGGCTCTCATCACCATGAACAGCCAACCTCAGGCAGCAGACTCCTTGATGAACATCATGGAATTCAGCCAGACATAGAACCACACCACCTTGGAGAAAAGAATACTGAGGGACAAATAGAAATAATTACTCTTGTGTTGTAAATAAAGTCGCCTTACAGAACTGTGAGGACTTTTCATAGAACCAAAAAAATCTCTAAAGTCTTAACTATGATTATACACATGCATGCACACATGTGTATTTATTTGTGACACTAAGAAAAATGTCCAGGGTACAACAGTCCCCAAATAAGAACAAAGAGCTAGGTTCTGATGTATAGGAGTGCAGAGACAGAATCTTCAGACACGAAAACATGGTATATAGAGGGTGGGGCTGGGAAAAGATGATGGAAAACAGCWGCTTGTGAAAGGTCCCAATACCCTGGAGGTGTTGCAGAAGTCCTCCCAGACCTGCACATGAACTACACCTGGGCACTGACTTCAATGCTTGTTTTTTAAATCCATTTCTTGGGGGCTTTGTCCCTGTCTCCCACACCCCAACAAGGGAACATGAATTCAGTTATATAAAGGAAATTGGTGGGCTAAAAATCAATTAAACATCAAGATAATACTTGTTATACATTGGAAACTTTGTGTGTGGGGATCTGTGCATACTTTAACATTTACTGCTCCATGATTCTTTTAATTCCTCTGTGAAGGACAGAATCCACATTTTGTGAGATATTGCAGATTTTAAAAACCTGTTCTCAGCTTTGATACCTAACACCAACTTATAAGGTGATCAAATATATCAGAAGAGTGGGCCAAGTCATATTCTGTCAATCATTTTGTGACCTCAGGATATTAAGTCTTTGGCTATCTTAAAATGAAGCCAATGCTGAAGTGACAGGTTTGGTACAAGGATCCAGTAGAGGTTCATAAAAAGTTCAAGGTATTGTTATTACTTACCCTGCTTATATGTAAGGAAAATGAATCTTAGGAGTAACAAAAGCCTTTCTCTTTATTGCACTGTTAAGCAGGTCCTATTTAAAGGTCTATAGGAGGCTTTAGAGTTCCATAAAATCAAGATAATTGTATTCAATTGTTGTGTATGTCTTTCTCAGTTCGAGAAGGGAGGTAATGGCTTTTATCACTGTGATTCCAAAATAGTTAAAAAACCTACTGCTATAAACATACAGAGAACATACATTTCAATATTTTATGAAAAAGGAAAAAAATCTCTAAGAAATTTAATCTTTTCAGCTTTAAGGATTAAATCCCAGAACACTATCACACAGGCAAGTATAGACACAGAAATGGAAAACACTTGTTCATTACATGCTGGGCAAATGCAGATCTAGCTTCAGGTCAGCTTTCAGTTCAGACTTACCTTCTTTTGGCAAGATGGCAGCTACTGGAGATTGGTCAACCAGGGTATACTGATCTTTATCCAGATACTGGTCAAGTTCTATTACCCTTTCCTTAGAACACTGGGTCATTCCATGATCACTTGTGATGATTAGGTTCACAACATTCCACAACTTTGCCTTTTTAAGCATCTGTATGAGATATCCTAACTTGTGGTCAATATCTGAAATGACAGGCCCCATGAGTGGACTGTCAGGTCCCAAATGGTGGCCCATGTCATCTGGGTCTTCCCAATAGAGAAGACCAAGATTTATGGGCTCTTTTGATGTAAACCATTCAATAATTTTGGCAACTCTCTCTTCAAATGAGACGGACTCATTGTAAGGCATGTAGTAAGTTGGAAAGCTCTTATGGATCTTTACATCTGCTCCAGGCCACATGGCTGCACCACTAGCATGTCCTGCCCTCTGATTTGTGATCCATATTGGTGTTGCTTCTTCCCAAAACTTGGGATCATAGATATTCATGTGATCCAAGGAGAAAGATTTGTTCAGAATAGGATCAAACATGTCATTTGCAACAATTCCATGATTCTCTGCAAAGAGGCCAGTGACCAAAGTATAATGGTTAGGGTAGGTCTTTGTAATAAAAATATTAGTAACTTGCTTCACATGAACACCGTATTTCATAATGTAATGAAAATGGGGTGTTGGAACTTTAAATAAGTAATCCCAACGGAATCCATCAAATGAAACTAGCAAGACCTTTTGCTGGTCTGGTTGGAGAGAAAATGTAGTTGAAAGAGTTAGTGCAGCGAGTGCAAAAGATGCCGAGAGAAGCTTTGAAGTCATTTTCATGGTACTGGATCAGTTCAGTGTAAGGTAATCTGTAAAATAAACATAAAGAAGTTAATGGCAGCAATTTGTTTTGTATGCTTTACTCCTACCCAAGATACTGCTTAGTCATTCCAATTACATCATAGCTGAGAGCCTGGAAGAATGACGTGTGACAGAACTCCATCTTCAACAAGAGACCTGGGGTCCACATGTTTAAGAAAGCTAAGAAGTTTAATTGCATTTTATTTTCTAAGAATTTTCTCAAAGGAATTATTGAAATTGACTCCCAGTAGCATTTAAAATGAATTTTTTGTAGTTGTAGATGGACAGCAAGCCTTTTTATTAATTTTTGTATGCAGTGCTAAGGATCGAACCCAGTGCCACACACATGCTAGGCAAGTGTTCTGCCACTGAGCCCCAGCCCCAGCCCCAGCCCCCAATAGCATTTTTTAATATGATATCATTTACATAAATTTTTCAGAAACATTTTCAGGTTTATCCAGACTTCTRACCAGGATTTTTTACAGTCAAATACCTAAGAATATATTCATCATGGATGGAACTTAGCAACAAGGATATATATTAGTAAAGCCAATAATGATGCTATTTAAACACATGCATGAGCACCCACCCCTCCACAAACATACTTTTCAAAGCCACACTTAGGTTAGCTAAGAAATCTCTTGAATTCAGCTTTTGACATCTTCCTAATTTGAACATGGTGAAGTCATTCTGAAGATTTAAAAATAGATCCTGTCTTGCCTTGATATATCATAGAGAAAGGTAAATAAAACCTGCTTGGCATGCTTGCTTTGCTTTCAGAAGTACAAACCGTTTGGTTCATCATAGAGGTATCACTACAGAGGAAAGTACTTGAGCTTGGTTTCTTGAAGTGAAATAAAATTTATGACTTCCAAATATATTTGTTAAATGTATTCTGTACTCATTTAATAATACAGCCTTCTATACTGAATGATTAGATTTTAAACTAAGTATAAATAGAAACATAATTTTTAAATTAGATGTTGACCTTCCTAATGTTACAATTAATCAACAGTTAATCTTATCAGTAATATGTACAGAAAAAGTATTTCCCAGGATTAAATTTCTTTGGAATACAATTGCTGTTTTTAATTTGCATATATTACAACAAAACCAATAATAACCTTTTAATTCTATTTAGGAAAGCTAATAAGAGGCAGTATGGAGAAACGATTTCATGTGTATGCTTTGTTGTTTCTCATTAATTCAATCAAGGATCTTGTTCTCTCCCTCTCGGGTCCATCTTGCAGGAAGATATTTATAAGCCCATCAAAACCTGACTTAACCAAAGGTTGGCTAAGAAATTTCTTGAATTCAGCTTTTGATATCTTCCTAATTTGAGCATGGTGAAGACATTCTGAAATCCGGAAAACAGATTCTGTCTTGCCTTAACATATTAGAGAGAAAGTAAATAAACCTGCTTGGCATGTTTGCTTTGCCTTCAGAAGTACAATCTGTAAATGATGTATATTAGTAGCTGAGGGCGATAATTCTGCTTCATTTTAAAAACTGGTTTTACGTTACTTTAACTGAAATTGTTTTAGGTATTGCTCTCAAGACAAAGGCTCAAAAATTAAAAACTATTAAATTTTCCCTTTCTGAAAGAAAGCTAAAAATAGCCGCAACAGGAAAGTGCACATTGGAAAATGCAAATTTATTGACTAATGTATCTGGCTGAGGATATGTTCCTCCCTCTCCTTTCTTCACCAATTTTCTCTCCCACCTTCCTAACGCAAAGAAGGCTCCTATCAACCAAATAAAGGCTAAACAAAGAGTCGACTACGTGGAACACCTGGCTTTAATCTATTTTAACAAATTCAATAATTGCGGTAAACAAGAAACAACTGCTTTCCTTGGGCAATCAGTCAGCAAATATTAAATGTGGTCTAGAGATTAGGGATGTTTGGTAAGAAGAAAGAACCAACATTATCACATCGATGACATAAAGCAAAAAACAGAGATGGGGGGTGGGGATGAAAGAAATCATATATTTCTTTTCTATGGCATAAATGCTGCACGAAGCCCTGGGATCTCTAGATGTGGGTCCAGCTTTCCCCAGGCTGCTTTACGGTTCCTCCTCCCCTTCAATCTCCCCCGCAAACAACCTTGGAAACCTGGAGGGAAGGGGCACCAATCAAAGGGCAGAGGAGGAAGGTGAAGGCGGAGTGGGTATATAGAGAGCAGGTAGCCGGCAAGGGGAGGGGGTTGCATCTCCTCATCTTCTCCACCTGGGCTCCACGCTAGCAACCGAGAAGGGTCGCCCTGGAAGGTACGTTCCCTGTTCCCAGACCTCCCTCCCCCGAGGCGGGCGAACGTTCCCTCGGGGGCTGTCTGGGTGCGCACTACCGAGGCGGGGCGATAGCTCTGGGGCCCACAAAGCCGTGTGGGCTCCCGGGGGGCAGGCCGTCCACCCCGGACTCTTACCCTCGAAGCGATCCGGTCTGTCCGCATCGGGTGGGGACAATAGGAGCGAGGGCCTGGAGGAGGCTCCCTCTGGTAGACCGAGTCACAGCCGGGAGGTGGCGGGAGGAACGAGGGGGAGCCCCCTGAACCCGCAGCCGCTCACCTGCCAGCAGCCTCCGCGCAGAGCACCTGACCCGCGCCGCCGACCGCCCAGCTTCTTGGCTCCCATTGGCTGCTGCGGGATTGTCACCTCTGCGGGGCTGCAGCCCGGAAGCCAGGCTCCTAGGAGTAGCTGCGCCGCCTGTCAATCAGTGGGAGCGGGGGCGGGCTCTGCTTGGGTTTGGAGGRTGGAGAGGGAGGGAAGCTGGGGGACCAGAAAGCCTGCAAGGACCCAACTGGTAGGCCCCACCGGGTGGGGAGGCTAAGACGCACGTCACTGGGCGCTCCCTCGGGGCCTGTCCCTGTTCACACACACAACGTTCCGCACTGTGGCTGTTCTAGACAACCACTTCTGTCAGTGATGCTGAGAGACGTTAAAGCGCTACCGCTGCGGTTGGTGTCCTCAAAGGCTGTTTTTTGTTATAAGCTACTTTTGTTCTCTCCTTTGATCTGTCACCCCCAAGCCCCGCCCCCTCCCCTACATCACATCTCCGACATGGCAATTTTCTTCAATTTCTTTTCTCCCTCAGTTGTTGGGATATCTTACCTCAAAGGATTTAGTAGTCATTACTGCAGCCCATTGTTTGATGCCCAGGTTTTTGCATTTGAGATCTCTGGGGTTCTGTGGAGAGAGATCTAGCAGTAGCACCTGAAAACACTCAAATTAAACCGGGCCAAGCACCGGGAGACAGGCAGAACAATTGCTCTGATGGTTGCATCTAGGCTCCAGACTCTAACAACATGCATTAAAATTACAAATTTCAGGCCTGTGATTTCTCTTTCCACAAGTCTTAGGTGTTTTTGGTTCGTTAGTGCCCTTCTTTTTTTTTTTTTTTCTTTTCATTTCCTTCCTTCCTTTTATTTATTTTTTGTTGTGCTTCTGGAGATTGAACCCAGGGTCCCTCTACCACTATACCTCCAGCCCCTTTTATTTTTTGAGACAGGGTCTTACTGAGTTGCTTAGAATGGCCTTGATTTTGTGACCTTTCTGCCTCAGCCTTTGTAGTAGCCAGGCATGGTGGCCCATGCATGCCTGTAATCCCAGCAATTTGGGAGGTTGAGCCGGGAGCATTGCAAGTTAGAGGCCACTGTGGGCAGCTTAGCAAGACCCTATCTCAAAATAAAAAAAAAAAATAAGAAGGGATAAGGATGTAGCTCAATGTCACAGTGCCTCGGGATTCAATCCCCAGTGCCAAAAGGGAGAAACAACAACAAAATAATAATACAATGGCCCTGTTTCTTTTCCTGGATTGCAGTGAATCAATTTTTCAGTTTTTCAGTAATTGATGATATTTTTAGGTCTGAGAGGTCATGGGGAGTGCATAATTTGCTAATTTGACCCCAGCTGTATTTACCATGAATTATACCATTGACATCAAGCTACTCTGGAAGGATCTGTTCATCTACCCATGTCCCAGTCCTAATTAGATAGAATTCTAATTCATCTGTAATAGGCAATAGTATCTGTTCAACTGTCACCATCTAATCTAAGTAGCTGATAAAAACAGGAGCATATTAGCAACAGTGGCTTTGCTCTTGTCTAGAGCTCATGGGCCCTGTCTGATGTGCTGGAGCTGTAAAGGGCACAGACATTGCTGCTGATATTTAATTACATGAAGTGAACCTTTTAGTCATTGCCTTTTCTTTCTTAGCTTCTAATAGAGGGGCATTCCCAACTCCAGCCAGAGCCACCTGCAAATTGGGTCATACCATCCTGAAGGGCATTTGGGCACTCTGCCACAGCCTTTTATTGTTTTTGAGTTTATGGTTTGCAACATGTGGGATGGGGATTAAAGGTAGGCTGGTTTTGTGTTTAGCCAGACCCAAAGACAATGAAGCTGAACAGGTTGTTCCAAGTCCCCAAAGCCCTGTCCTTTGAAATTGCTCATACTTGGAACGAAGTGGTCCAATCTTATAAGCTTTGCCTTCCTCAAAGAGACAAATTCTGCGTTCTCTCAAAACATTGAAAGAACAACTTACGCTTTTCAGAGAACAGGATAGTGAAGACAGGCCTTTATGTGGGTCATTAAATATTGTAGGACTCTGTTCAGCTGACAATCTGCCTTGCTCTGCAAACTTTTATGGGAGTCATGATTGTATTTACCAGCTACCCCTGTGAAACAGGCATAGCACAGCTGTTAACCACAATTCACAACACAGAAAAGCACTCATGGGCTCAGAAAATGTCAGAGTTACCTTCTAGACTCCATATAACAACATCTGATGATCAACTAGTAGGCTTGAAATATAATTCATGTTGCTAATGGGAAAAAAATCTGGTTTAAATAGTGCAGAGGAATATTAAGTATCCATTGATGGAATTCATGCTTATACATCTGTACTTTGCCTGTTGTCTCCATTTTTATCCAGTTGCAACTATTGCTTGGCAAGTTATGGCAGAGTAAGCCATAGCCCGTCACTATGACTATTCTTTTATTCTGTACCACTGAATTGGTAGACTCCTAACTGAGCTAGTGATATGTTTCTAAATTAAGGAGTAACACCAGAATCAATCCCTCCCCCAGGTTTGGGGTCAGGGTCAGGGTGCGGAGGACCTTTTGCCTTTTGAAGACCCTAAACAAGTCTAATAAGGGTTTAGAAGCTGAATTTTCTTCTTCAGGGGCTGGAAGAGTTTTGTGCTAAAAAACGTAATAAAATCTGTTCTCCATGAAATAATCAAGGCTGGCTCTACCATGGATATTTCATTTTTAGAACTAGGCTCCATTATAGGGAAAACAAACAAATTATTTTATAATTTAATAAAAAATATTTAAAGTTGGACTAAATAACTGAAAGAAAGTCTCCCTTAATCCTTTATAGAATATTCTGCAAAATGTGGGTTTCACATATTCAACAACAATAGGTAGGATCCATTGGGACTCTGGATCTGAACTGATCTTAATTTATGGTAAACAGTGGGTGTCCACTGGTTTAGACTCAGCAAAAGTTCAACCCAGTGAGTGAAAAATTGAGTTATAGAATATTCAAAGACTTTGCCCAAGAATTCTTATTCATAGTACCAATTTAGGCTTCTAATGATATATTTGTCCTTATTCGAACTAATATCATGCAATTATTGTGCTTTTATTCTCAGCATTATGTAAGACAAATATAACTAGACTGTATTACTGTATTCTATAAATTGTAGACATAGCTTATTAGTTTCTGGGACTATAATGAATTATCACAACTGGGTGACTTGTGAACAGAAATGGGTTCTTTCACAGTTTTGAAGGCTAAAAAATCTGAAATCAAAATGTCGGCAGGGCATGCTCCCTGCAGGGGCTCTAAAGACAATTCCTTCCTTGCCTTTTCAGCTGCTATGCATTTTTGGTGCTGCTTGGCTTGCTGCGGCATGGCAGGAGTCTTTCCCTTATCACACAGTGTTCTATTCTGTGTGTGTCTGTCATACAGACTTTTTATAAGACACCAGCCATTAGAAGTAAGGCCCACTTGAATCCAGTATGACTTCATTGAAACTTAATTTCACCTGCAAAGAGTATAGTTCCAAGTAAGATCACATTCTGAGGTCTAGGTGAATGTGGCTTTAAAAAAAAAAAAGTTATGCAACCCAGTACCTATAGCCAGCAGAATGTTTAATTTTATGGCCCAACCTAGATCACAAGTTCATGAATTATTAAAATGGCTCAAATCAACATCAACACCAGCACACCAACATCTAGTGCTGGTTAGGATTCAAAGCAATAGGAACTATTGTATTGGGAATGATACAGCCACTATGGAAAGAGTTTGAAAGTGACTTATAACATTAAATGTGCATTTGGCATGCAACCCAAGAATCACACTCCTAGGTGCTTATCCAAGAGAAAGGAAGATGGATGTCCACTGAAAAACTTACAAACAATTGTTATAGCTGCTTCACTCATGATCACCAAAAGCTATAAATAACCCAAATGTGTCTCAACTGGTGAACTGATAAACAAATCATGGTATAGTCATGAATGGAATACTGTTCATCAAAGAGAAGGGATGAAGCTGATACAAGCAACATGGATAAATCTCAAAAGCATTTTGCTGAATGAAAGAAGCAAAATGATTAAATTCTCCATGATTCCATTTATCTGACATTCTAGAAAAGGCAAAATGATGGAAATAGAAATCAGATTAGTGATTGCCAGGAGCTAGGGTATAGGGGAGAGGACTGGCTAGAAAAGGGCACAGGGAACTTTATGGATTGAATTTTCTTTGCAGTGGTAGTTATATAAGTTTTTTATTCATTAAATTATACATTCCAATGTCTTATTGTATGGAGATTATACCTCCATAAATAACAGCAACATGATCTAATTTCCACTTTGTGATCACCCCCACAGCCCTCAAGAGTTCATGAATTGGAACTGGTGGTGTTTGACTTGCAATGTCATTTTTCTGTGGGTATGAGAGCCTGTTAGTCCAGTCAGCAGGACACAGAAACATGTCTGTGCAGGATTCCTTTTGACCCCTTGTTCTGCTGGTTTTCAGAACAAGGGGTCAAAAGGAATGAAGTAAAGTCTGGAAACCACACAACAAAACCCCAATTGTTTTCTAGGTTAGAACTGAATACCATTTGTTGAACAACTAAATCAGTCTGGAATGTGCTTTATACAAGCAGAAGGGACAATTGCCTTTTGGCATGTGGTTTGAGGCCTGTTCTATAAGACATATTTTCAGAAGGAACCAAATCCAAAACTACACATGTATTCGTGGTACAGGGGGTAAAACCATTAACTCCGGACCACATTCTCAGTTCTTTGGAAAGCATATTCTTGTCCCTTAGATGCCTGGAAATCGTTTAACCTCACTTTTATTTTGAAAGTATTGTTATTCTGCAAACTGACTCTCAGAGTGGAGGATCTACAAATATTTTCCTCTCAAATTAAAACAAATAATTTTTCATTCTGGCCATTTGCATTTAAAATGTAAATATAAACACCCTTGGCAACTATTCTGTAGCTTAAGGGCACACTCATTTCTTTGATTAGCTAAAATCTGTGAATAGGCAAAGTAGACAGTATTGGCTCTGTCTTTATGGCTTTGTT